TCAAGGGATCTCTAACTTTTCCTGTCCTCCTGCTCCCAGAAAGAGAAGTGTAGAAATGAGGAGGGGAGCTCCCCAGTTTTCACAGCAGGGGAGCGCTCTGGGGGCAGCCGTGATCCTGTTTCACCGGGGCCAAGGTGCTCACACTGGGTCGAGGACAGAGGATGCAGCCAGAATGGGGTTTTGACACCCAGGGGCGTAAGGGACCACTTGGGATGAGCAGGTAGCGGCGCTGAGCATTGTTCGTAAAAGTCGGTGACACTAGCGGGCGACCCTGCCGGCTCTATCCAGAAGGGTTGTTGAATTTGCGTCTGGATTAATCTGCATTCCAGTGCGCGGGTGTGAGCACAGATTGTGAGGTTGCTGGAAGTTTTGGGTGAAAGTTGGTCCACGTCTTCTAACTGCCGGCATCCCTGCTCCACCGAAAAGGCCACTGCATCTGGTCTGCAAGTGCGGTCAGAGCCACGGCTGGGAGGCGGTCTGTCCAGCCGCCTCCAGCTCGTGGTTGGCGCGCCCTTTCCAAATACAAAACAAAAGGATCCCCCATCCGTGCTCCTCACTGACCTACGGGCTGTGCATGCAGAGGTGTGCGGTGGCCTACGCGGCGGTCTGGTCCCGTAGAACCGTGGCTGGGTACGCCGGGGGGTGTGCGGGCATGCCTGTTGGGCACACACGCCTCACAGCCTTGCCGAGTTGTTTGCGTCCATGTGCGGCTTGAAGTGGCCTCCATTTTGAGGAGGGGATGCAGCAAGGTCGGCCTCCCTGGCTCCCTGACCTGCATTTCGCAGAGGGAGCAGGAAACTTGAGCGATGGGTGGAGTGAGGGTTCCTCTAAGGGGTTTGGGGAAGGCCACACCTCGTGGTCTGCAAGGTGGCACTAATCCTCCTTTCCACAGCCGGCTCTCAACCCCTTGGCTGCTCACCGCCCAACTCAGGCGCAGCATTTTGCCAAAGCAAAAAGACACCAAGTCCCCTGTAGAGGGGTGAGCTGAGCTGGGAGAGGCTTCTGAGGAAGGAGGCCCATTCCCTGAGTGGTTTGTGGGTCACCTCAGAGCGGGCCCCTTTCATTCAACAGAATATTTTTGGAGATACCGCCGGGTGTTTGCAATTTTATAGACATCACCTCTGACCTTTAGCACTGACTTTCAAAGTGACAGCTGTGGGTTTCTGTGTACAATGAGGAAACTGAGGCACAGAGGGGCAGAGAAACTGGCTCAAATTTAAAAGACTCTAAGGCCGGTATTCCAAACCAACTTCATTTAATTCCACTACACACACTTTCCTTCTATTCCGCTGTGCCTTGGAACTCCCCCCAACAGATCAGCGTGGAAAAGAAACAGAAAGAAGTGCAAAGACCCAGAGGAAGTGGGGTTCTTTTCCAGAATTCTCACCCCATCAGCAACCTAACGGTCTGCGATGGCAAACACCTCCCTTCCACCTTTTTATGATTTGCTGCAAAAGTACTTTGGGAGGATGTGTCCTGGGAGGTCAAGGGCAAAATGGACTCTCTGCTTAAAGCACACTGGAGGACATTCATCCTGAGGCCAAGGCACTACAGGCTTCCCTTGACCAGTGCCAGGACTTCCATCTGTTAGAGCCCCTACCCTGAGCCCCGATGGGGCCAGGAGTGACATAGGTGACCCTGGCTAGGAGGAATGAGGGCTAAATAACATGCCAGGTATCTCAGGCCTGAAATAAACTCTTTTTCATTAAATGAGAAAGGGCAGAGGGATTTATGAGGGTCTTGTTTACCTTTCATTTCTTTTAGGTGTGTAAATACACCCTCTGTGCTGTATTTTGATTTTATTGTACAAATATAATGACATTGCTGTATGTGCATACATGCATTTATGAAACTGTATCTCCTGACCATGCACACAAGCTGCCCCACGTACAGTGTGTGTGTGTGTGTGGGGTGCCCATCTCTGTCCACCTGTGGACTGCTCCTAGCATGGGTGGCCTCCATGCTACGTCACTCCTACCTTCTTTGAGTCTACACCTGGGAGTTCTTAAACTGGCCATCTGTACACAGAATTTATTTATTCTACATGCAGAGTTAGTAGAGTGGAAGGGATGATAGGTGGGCATAGAACTCACAATTGTCCAGAACTCACAAATACCCACAGATGGGGTTTGAGGTGGTGAGTGTCACAGGCAGGGACTTGAGAGTCTTAATCTGGGAGTGTGGGCTTAAGGAGATGATTTCTTCATTTCTGGAAGCCCTGCAGATTTTCTCAATGGAACTCCAAGCTAGCTGCTGACATCTTGTATTCAGGACACCCAACAGTCTATGAGAAGGGATATAATTTAATCCCAGGTGCCCAACAAGTCCACACACCTGCTGGAATTACTGCTGGGTGGGGACCATCCTCATACACAGTCCTGTAACTGCCTGACCCAAGCCTGCCCTCAAAACAGCACTTAGTGCCCCATCTTTAGGTGGCCACACCTGACACCAGGAGTGTTTCCAGAAGACCAAGGTCCTTGAGTCTGTGTCCAGACCGTCATCAGTCGACTTTACATTGGACTGCCTCCATGCTCAACACTGGCCCTGTCCCCCATTCCCAGAGCCACCCAAACCCAGCCACTGTGGGGAGGCTGTGTGAAACCAGGCCAACCTGTCCTAGTCTGTGTGTGGGTGGCCTAGGTCAGATCAGACAAAGTCGGGATCCTGGTGCTGGAGTGTCCTGGGGCCAGCGTGAAGCTGGTTACCTTTCCCCACGCCCTGGTGGCGGGGGAAATCAGCTCTGGCCGGTGGACTCCTAAAGCCTCGTGGCTTGCAAGAGGGCGCTCAGGAAGCAGAGGCAGTAAAAGGGCAGCGGGAGGAAGCCGGGCCAGGGAGTTGGAGAAGGAGGTCGGGTGGCGGGGGGGGGGGGGGGGGGGGGCGTTACCCGCGTGTGGCCTCTTCTGGGCGCTCGGTCTGCGGGTGCCGGCGCTCCAGACCTTAGGCTCCTAGGGACGGGCTAACCGCGAGACCCCGGAATCCCCTTTCTCCTCCCATCTCTCTGGGCGAGGCCCGGATCCGGCGAAAGCTGAGCCTAAAGCTTCGCGTGAGGCTGTCTTTGGGGGTCGGGGAAGTCTCAGGCTCGCAGTGAGGAGGCCAGGCAGAGCTGGGTACTCGGGAGCAGTCCAGAAGCGCTGGCACGAAAAGGGGGCTGAGGAGAGCTCGGCAGAGAGAAAAGGCCAGGAAAGAAGAGAGGAGGGCGAAGCGCGAGGGAGAAAGGGAGCGCCGCGAAAGGCCAGGCCGGGAGAAGGCCGCGCCGAGAGCCGGCTGGGCCCAGGCGCCGCGAGGAAGTGGGAGCCGAAAGAGCGAAGCCCAGGCGGGCAAGCGCCGCGCACGCCGCCCTCCGTGTCGCGGTGCCCTCTCCCGGGAGCAGCCGGTGCGGTCGGCGTCGCTGGGAGTGGGAAACGAGGCTGGCCAGGCGGCGGGGAAGCGCCGGCCTTTTCCTCCCGTGGTTCCGGACGCTGGTCCCACCTCGTCCTGACCCCGCCGAGCGCTAGTGACGCTTTTCTCCGCACCCGCCGTTAGGGACGCGGGGCGGGGACTGGCTCTCGGCAGCCGGCACTCGCGTCTGTCCCCCGCCAACGTAATCGGCTGGGATGGGCCTAGGGTGAGCGGCCGGCCCGAGAGGCTGAGAACTGTAAGGCAGTGACACGGGGATCTCTTTGGTCCCATTCGCCGCTTTGTCCCCTGCACTCAGCTCAAGGTTCAGCACACAATAGACGCTCAGAATAATATTTGCTGAATGAATGACTGAGCGATGACTGACTGGTTGAGTATATGAATTGGGAGGTGGAGGCAGCAGAAGCGGTAGGGTGGGGGTCCGGTGGGCCAGGGCCGCGAGCTGTCCGCTTACCTCGCACCAGGATGCGGCGGTAGTGGTCTGCCTCACCGAGCCCGGGGTGGCCGTCGCTGTCGGCGCCGCTCTCCCTGGAGCCCTCGGGGCTAGAAGCAGAGGTCCCTCCAATCTCCCTTGGGCTGCGGAGGCCAGCATCAGCACCCGAGTCCTCCGCTCCGCCTCTGTCCCCGCCGCGCCCGCCGCGCGCCTCCCGGCGTGCGGGACCGCGGTCGCGCTCGGCGCCCCCATCGCCCATGCCTGCTGCCACCGCCGCCTTCGCCACCGCCTGGCCAGCCTACGCTAGCCCAGCCCGCGGCTCCCCGCCCCTCGCAACCCCCGCCCGACTCCTCCTCCTCCGGCCCCGCCCCCGCCCCGCCCCCGCCCGGCTGCTCCACCCGTCCCTGCTGATTGGGCGGGAGCCGGGGTTCTCCGACTCCCAGCCGCTCCCTCGGGAGCTGCGCGGGGCGGGTGAGAGGGTGGCCCCACTCCTCTACCCCTAGTCTAGCCCCACACCCAGCTCGGCAGAGGGAGGCTGGAGCGGCCCTGGGGTGCTGTCCTACGTCCTCCCCTAAAGTTTATCAACTCCCTCCCCCAACCCTCGCCTACTCTCCTCCCTCCCTTCATCCCCGGGGGAGCGCCGGCTCCGCGCTCTGGCTCTTTCAGAGGGATCAATAACCATAGTGCTCCAGGAAGGCCACCCTAGAGAGACCAAGCAGAAAGGAGGTTGGCCTTGCTCCGGCGCTTGGCGGGGTCGGGGGCTGGAGGCAGGGACTCGGGCCTGGGGTTCAGTGCTCCACCGCCGCCCCCAGACTCATACCTCCACCCACACTCACGAACACCGACCGCAGGCCAGTCCTGGCGCTCCTGGGAGAGCAAGGCCTGGAATGTGGTCAGTGAACCTGAGTGAGGCCAGGGGAGTGACGGAGTGACCCGCACTCGCCGGGGCAGAGACAACACGTGCAGATAGACTGCCGGGGCCAGGAACCAAGAGGGTCGAGTGAGGCCGAGACTGGTAGGCAGCGAACGCCGGGTTCCCCTGCGGCTTCGAGGCCCTCACGCGGGGCCCGCCTCCTCAGACTAGGGTAGCAGGTGGGCGTTTACTTGTGCCACCCCCACCCCGCCGCCGCCGTGGAGCTGCCCCCTACCCCAGCCCTGGGGTGGGAGAAGCGAAGCGCGGAGGTGAGCGCTGCTAGAAGCCGGCTGCGCTGGGAAGCCAAGCGGTGGGGGGCTCTGGGCAGAGCGCTCGGCCTTCCGAGGCGTCCCGGTTCCCAGCACTTTCTAAGGAGCCCGTGCTCGCCCGACTCTGGCTTCTCCTTTGACAGCACCAGGACAGGACAGGCCCTTCGTTCCCTTCGTTTGACTCAGAAAGGGGCCCGAAGAGAGATTGAGAGACCTCAGCGAAGATGTGTGTACAAGGTGTGTGTGCGCGGGAGGGCCAGTGACCCCTCCGCTAAAGCGCCGTCATTACAGACTTTGCTTCCTTTTCCGGCCCGCAGGCTCGGGTGAGCGAGGGTGCTCCAGTCTGTCCGGGCGTCTGGATGAGTGTCTTCGGGGGCAGGGCCCATGGATGTGCTGGGGTAAGCGGCTGTGGCGCGGCTGAGTGTGTGGCTGGTGCCTCCTCCATGACTCGGCGAGCCGTTATGTGACTGCGTGTGTCGGTGCCTTAGCGTGTGTCCAGTGTGCGTGTGCTTCTGTCCAATCTCAAATGTCCCCAGCAGAAGGCGAGGTGGGCTGGACGCCCCAATTGTGTAACTGAGTGACTAACAGTGCCTTGGTGAAGGGTTTGAGAGGTAGGAAGAGGGGAGGGTAAAGGGTGCAGGGGAGGAGGACTGCTGCTCTGTACTAACAGAAAGGAAGATAGTAAAGAAAGAAACTTGGCCACTAGGTACTTTGGGTAGGGCAGGGGAGCGCAGGACCGTGTGGGGGTGCTGGACAGGGTGTGCAGAGGGGAGAGCAGCGTGGACCAGCTCTGCGTGCTGACGGTTGGTGGCCCCTGGGGCTCTGGGGGGAAGGAAGTTTGTACTTACAGGAGGACCTAGGCAGTGCGACCCCGCAGATCCGAGCTCGGTTGGAAGGACCCAGGCGGCATGCGCTGGAAGGGCGGCAGAACTCTTCAGTGACCCCCACATGGGCCAGGGTGCCCTCCACCCCTGCCCATTCGGACGCTGGTCGCCTTCGCTCTGCATTTCAGTCTTTCTCCTCTCTAACTCTTTCAAGTTTACTTATTTTTATTATTCATGTAAGAAGCAGAAAGTAAACACTAGGCTCCAACCTTCCCGGCCCCCAAGCCCTCGATTTTCTGCCGGCCACAGGGCGGCCCCAGTTTCTGTTCAAAGAAAAATAGAACAGCCCCTGCTGAACACTGCCGGGTTTTGTTTTCAATTTTCATTCCACAAATAACGTCTCTCGGTGCCAATAACTCCGGGTCTCTGTCCGGCGAACTTTTCCGAGGTCCACGGATGGGCTTCCGGACGCCCGCACGCTCCTGGGGGATCGGGGAGGGTCTACAGGGAGAGGCAGAATCCCGCGGACCCAGGACCCAGGCAGTTGCGGCCGCCTCCCCACCCCTAGCTTCGGGCAGCTCCGCAGGGAGCAAGGGAGGAGGGTTAATTCTTGGGAGGTCCCACTCTTCCTCTTTCTCCCGCCCTTTATTTATTTATTTTTTCCTCCCGTTCCCTCTTTGCGGGATGGGATTTGGCGTCCCTGGGGCGACGGGCTCTTTCAGCTCCCCAGGCCTGGAGGTGGGGCCCCGGCCGGGAGATCGTGCCCGCTCCTATCGAGTGAGGAACTCAGGGCTTCTGCGCGCTGAGGCGGAGAGTGTGTCCCATGCGTGTGTGGATGTGTGTGTGTGTTGGGGGAAGGCAGTGCTGGATCTACTCTCCCATACGGGCTCTGGCCCAGCCAAGATGCCTGCCAGGCCATCCAGGCTCCTGGGCGGCCCAGTGCCTAGCCCAGAAGGCAGATTGTGCCCGGCCACTCCCACCCATATTCTTTCCTCTCTGGAGACCTTGTCCTGTCGTTCTGTCTCCTGAGCTTGCTGGGTGAGGAAAGCTGGGTGCCCCTGTATCCAGGTACGGCCACGTGGCAGGGGTGTGCAGGGTTGGCCTTGCTGAGTGTGTGTGCACGCTCACATGTTGGGATGCCGTTTGGTTCTGGGAGATCCTCCTGCCCAGGCTAAGCAGGACATGCAGAGCTCCGGATGTTGAGCCTGCCTGGCACAAACTCACTGTGATCTGGGATTCCTCACTCGGCAGTGAACGGATGACCTATTGTCCTATGCCATATGCTCTCACTGCCAGTCTACACTCGCCGTCTCACTGTCATCTCAACTGGGTCAAGATCCTAGGAACCTGGAAAATCCTCTGTCTTTCTACACAACCTTGTAAAGCGATTCAGGAACCTTAGTGGGAGGGATGTGTATGGGGGAGAGGGGAGGGGAGTCCCAGCTGACAGGGGCAGGGCCATGGCCTAAACTGCTTTCCCTGTGGCCTGACCCTGCCAGGGCTCCAGTGCAGACAAACCCCAGGTGTTGATCTGCTCCTTTTTGGGTCCCACAGAGCCTCCACAGCTCACAGCCCAGGTTCCATCCCTGCCATCAGTCTCTGTCCTGGCCTCAGCTGGTCCCAGGGAATTAGTGGGCTTTGGCTTTGCAGGATGAGCAGGTCTGGTTACAGTGAGCTGCTGTGTCCTGGGCTGGAGTCCCATGATGCTCTGCCACAAGGAGCTCCCTGGCCACATAGTGGTCCATGTCTTCTGCTCAGCTGTAGGAGTGGGGAGACGGCCAGTCAGGAAAGGGCTCCACCAACCCAGCTTTCTTCAGATGCTCCTTAGCACTAGGTCACCAGAGGATTTCTCCAAAATGGCCTGAGTTGGGGAAAGAAGACTGTCCTCCCTCTAGTCTCACCTTGTTTAGCACCTTGCTTAACTGCCATCTCTAATTCTTGCTGATTTTTCTCCTGGTATGGGCTTGATCCAGTCTTTCTCCAGGGACCCTCCAGGCTCTCCCCGTCCACCCTCACCAGGCCTTCTAGCGACTCAGCGAGTGAGACTGACTTGTTGAGCCTCTGTCCTTCTGAGAGCTAGGTACCACCCCCCTCAACAACTTGTATGGGTAAAGAGTCTCCCTACCCCCACTCTGCTGGGCAGCAGGCCCTTTAGGATCAGAAGTGTGTCGCCTGTCCTGGGTTCTAGGGGAGCCAAGGTGTGCCTATGGTTGGGTGGGAGTTGGAATTCAGGTCCCCCAGGAGCTCCCTGTATCTCAAAGCCAAGCCCTTGGGTCCTCTACTCACAGTGGTCCTGCAGCTCTGGCAGGAGCTTCAGCATCCCCTTTGGTGTTCAGAACCTGGAAAGTCGGAGCCCCATCCTGTATCTGGTTATTCTTCCTTGTTCTGTATTCCTAGGGTGCTCAGGCAAGCACTTCAGGCCACTCTCCAGACCTGGACCCCTGAGCTCAGCTCAGCCCTGCTCCTTCTGGTGCCTGGGCCAAGCTTGCAGCCTTTTCAGGTGCCTTCCCCAGCTGGCTTCCTTCCTGCACTTCTCCTCCGCCTCTCTACCCCCCTGCTCCCCTCGCTCAGCAGGTGCTTTTCCCCAGTCCTTTCCCTGAGGCCTGTAGGCTCAGGAGGTCTGGGTTCCTCTGCCCTGCCTCACCCCCTTTTTGTTTGGGTCTCCTGTCCATCATTCTTCTTGCTGGTTTTGGGGTCCCACACAAAGGTCCCTGGGAGACCCTGGGTGGCATTCTTTGGGCCCCCAGCTGTTACTCCTGGGATAGGGAATTCTGCTGCACTTGAAGGGAGCTAGGGATTTGGCGAATAGGGAAGGACACTCCTTGAAGAATCAGCTGGGGAACACAAGACCTAGGTGGCAGAAAAAATCTGTGCATCACTTCCTTCCTCGACATTGTCTATACCCCACCCCCATGTGCCTGGGAGCCAGACTTTTGTACTGGCACATTGGAGAGGGACCCCGTGTCCCACTCTCTGGTAGGAAGGAACTGACATTTTAAAAGTAGATGGGGTGCTGTTGGAGTTTTTTTTACAACGAGCATTGCTATTTTTGTAAAAAAAACAATAAAATGTATTGATTTCGGAGAAGAGAAGCAATGCTGCAACCCAAGGAGGGCTGCTCTCTTAGTGAGACACGCTGTTCCTGGGGTTGGTGGGAGAGGTGCTGGGGCAGAGTGAAGCTCCTCAAATTCTGGGGTGTAGGCTCCTCCTAGATAGATAGCTGTCTGCAGGTTCAGACACTGCACTCAGTCACTGACTTATTTCAGGCAACACAAGATGCCCGAGGCCTGTCTGTGCTGGATGCCAGTGTTGCCCTCTGAGGATTCTGCAGGGAGCAGACCCTCTGGACCCTAGAGGTGCCCAACATGAGGGTGGAGGTCACTTCTGTGGGAAGGCAGAGAACCCAAGTTAGCTGGGCTGGGGTGGGCTGGTGGAGGGTGAGGTGGGGAAGGCCCAGCTCCTGCCCCACTTCTTTGCCTCTCAAGGCAACACTCCCCTGCTTTGCTTTGTCCCCTCTTCTGCGTAGGCAGGGATCCCAGCCTGGCAGCCTTGACTCTGGCCTAGGACCAGTGCCAGGAAGGCTTAAAGGAGGAGGCAAAGGATTTCTCAACTTGCCACTATTAAATCATCTGGATAACTTAGAAAAAAATAATAGTGCTGGGCTGCAGACCAAATGGCTTCAGTTCAGGTCCAATGACTTCAAATCAGATCCCCAGTGCATTCTTGATATTTGAAAGGCTTCCAGGAGAAGCCTGGCTGGGAACCCCTGCATTGGGCTAAGGGTAGGGGAAAGCAGACACTACTGGATGAAAGCCAGGAGCAAAGGTCTTGGGTGGTCTGTATGCAGTAATCCAGGGAATGAGAAATGCTTATTTCAGTTAGGACTTTGGGTGGGTGGGGGAGGAGGGAAGCCAGCAGAGGTCTGGAAGGTGGGGGCAATTTGGGGGTAGGAGGATGAGAGAGGGTGAACAGGCCTGGCCAGGATACAGCTGGACCCAACCCCCGCAGGTGTCCAACACGATCTGAAAAGCTCCCCCCACCCACAGGACTCAGGGATTCTCTTGAGGAGAGGCCACCCAAGGGTGAGAGAGGAGGCGACTGGCTGGGCAGGGTGGGAGGGAGAGTCAGCCACTAACACAGGCATGGGTGTCCTCAGGTTCTAGGACAGGGGCTTGGTGGTGGTGGTGGTGGTGGGGGGATTCTTGATTTGCTGATCTTCTCCTCTGCTTTCCTCTAGACAGATTTCCCCCAAAGCTTTCTTGGCTTCCTAGTCCTCTTCCCTGGTAGTGCTCTGTGATTTTTCTTCCTTGCCCCTTCTCTGATAATTTGCTACTTCACCTTCCTTCTGCCTCCTTTCACCTTCTGGTTCTCCAGGTTTCCTCCCTTCCCTGGTGTGGTCCTGCCCACCCAGCCCCTGAGCCTCCATAGCTCTTTCTCTCCCTCCCCTCTCCCAAATTCCCCCACTTTCCATCAGCCTTCTCCTTGCCAGGGCAGAAGCACCCACTTTTACTCATCTTTCTTCAGAAATTACCATCCCTGCCAGGTGTGGAGTTTAAACCACCAAAAAAACCTGA